GAAGGTGCATCTTCAGTACAGAGCTTCCAGCATCATATCAGGTAACAAATCAGTGGCCCAAGGCAGAAAGGATGGTGTAACCTTCTTCCGGGAAGAAGTTTGCCAGAGATTTTTATTAACTTTGCAAGATCATATTTTCCCTGTTCTTGTTCTGAAAACAGCTGAAATACATTGGCTGGAATTTGCTTTTCTCAGTCTACCTCCTTCTGCACGCCTCCCTCAGAAGAAACCTCCACAACACATGGAACAAAATACATCCTGAGGCAGATATTCAACTTGGAAAATTTCAGCCCAAATAAAGTCTGGCCAAGTTACAAGCAGCTGGAAACAGCATTTTGCATTGAAAGTGTTCAGCAATTGCCTAACCGGCTGTCCTACGAACTTTGCTGATCATATGTATATGTTTATGTACATTCAAATACACTGTTGATTTATAAGATTAATTAATGGGTTACCCAGTCAACTAATTGGTACCCATTTTATTCTGAAAATTTGGAACAGAAAAGTCAACTAAAACTTCTTGGTTAACTATATAAAAGCTTTTGCATATGTTATTCTTTGTTGTTTTCCTAGCTGAAAAGATGAAGCCTTAAAAATGGAGCCTATGAAATAAATGACAAGCTGTGGTTTGCTTGTTCTGAATCTTTCCAAATGACTTAGTAATTGTTAAAGACCAATTTACAGTAGAACTAGAGCAAATTGCTTCCCAGAGTTTCATATTGTAAGAAACCACATCTTCCAAATTCCTAAGCTATTCATCAAGTGTTCTGCTATAGCAGACTCACCCTATATTGTGTCCTTGATATGTCTATTAGTTCTGCTGTTAAGTGTGGGTTTAAAACTATTGTGCCATGGAGTCGCTGTGGAATAAATACCACAAACATTGGCAAAGTCCCCTCATAAATCTTGCCTGATTTAGAGAGGATCTTAGGCGTGTTTGTAAGCGCAACTGTTTCTTGTGCGGTCCCCCGGGGACTGGATTTTGGTTTAATTTTAATTAGACAAAATTTTAAGCTGTTTAATATCATTAGATTCACAATTTTTGATGTGATACCCCATTGTCGTTGATAAATTATGTGCAGGTTTGGCTGGGGGGAGGTCAGGTTACTGGTATGGTAAACGCTAAATCAGTCTTTTAAATAGTTACCGTCCCTCGCCGAAGGCATTTTCATACAGCCAAATGCAGAGGAACCAGGAGAATAGTTACAACATCAGGATAGGAGACAATTTTTAGCTGGAAGTTTGGGGAAAAAAAAGTGTGGAAAATCATATAATCAGGAATTTTCATTGTAATACTGTGACTTAAATGTGATCTTTGGCTCAATAGCAATATAACTATTGCATAGAAATAAGAAAGTGCACAGCATTAGTAAGATCACTGGAATTCTGAGTCTGTGTCTGGTTTGTTGTTCGCACATCAGGAAGGAGGTGAAGTACTAATAAGAGCTCTGCTCACGGCAACCAGATGACCCAAGATTTCTAAAACATGCTTCATAATGCGTGGTGTACAGCGTTTTTCAACTTATCGAGAGGAAATTGAAAAGTGAAATGAGGCCTTTAATATCTTACGTGCATATAAGGAACACCCATGATAGCTTCTTGACACAACTGAGAGATTCAGTGCCTGGATGATGTTGTGCTTTGAAATAGTAAGGAGCAAGGAGAGCAATTAAAAATTGTAATAGTTTAGAGTTTGTCATTGCTTGGGATGTTTAAAATGGGACAGGATTTCTTCCTTAATTTCTTCCTTAAAAATTTGCTTGGGTTGGGTTTTGTGGAGAATTTTTTCAGTGCGTGTAGAGGAGTTGGGACTGTGTTCTGTTTTGCTTGCACTCCTCGTTGGGCTGAGGAAACATTATCTGCAGGGCCTTCAGCATATTGTAACACATGTTGCTTAATGTTGGACAAGATTATAATGACGTCTCATGCTTCAGCGGCCTGTGGCTGGGGTCAGGAGAATCATTTTTTCTCAATGTCTAATTGACTTATGGGATTATGATTAACAATCATTTAGTCTTCTCTAGAGTGTTAGCATCTGGTTGCAGCTGGAGATGGGATATTGGCATTCACCTTCCTCCCTTATTGCTGTGTTGATACACCAAGCTAGGAGAGGATTTTCTGCATCTTGCTCGTTTGCTCGGGGTCAATACCAATAACTATGTTTAGGGATGACAAAGTTTTCCCTGGCATTAGATAGGCAATGCCAGTTGCATTTTGGAGCTTAGCTGCTCAGGGGTCTCCTGCTTTCCCCTGAACAACCTCGCTGGCTTTTGGCACGTGAGGAATGAGAATGTGGGCACACACTCATATGTCTTGGCAATGGAGCAAGGCAAGCAGCTACTAAACAATAGAAGTTATGGTGGAGAAGTCATTTCCTAACCTGAAACACTCTGCCTGCTGACATGACTGCACGAATCAAGCTGAAGCATTACCTACAGAGCTTCTTTTCAGCAAGCTTCACTGTAAAGCTGATGCTTTTATTCGGCCTGGGAATTGAACTTGAGCCTAGATATTTATGACATGATGTTTTATAAATTCATAGTTTATTCTTTTTAATATAACGAACAGGCATTCTTTCTTTTTCCTGCAGGATCTGAACTAGAATAGATATACTTTAAATAATAAAGTATTTTTTTCCCTTGGACAGTTTATTGCTCCTAGTATAGGATAAATGATATGCCAAAGCATACCATAGGATGCGATGCTCAGAATTTCACATAGTGGTCTTACACTGGATGTTTTCGTTCACACTTCAAAATGCCCTCTGAATACTTTAAGTAACAAATTACATTTTCTGTATGGAATGACATTACTGGAAGTTTTTCAATCAAAAAGAAATGAAATGAGAAGGAGCCTAGATTATTGTAATTGAATATGTGTCAAGCATGTGCGTATAAGTACATGCATGTGCATGTAAGGAAACCTTTCCTGGATTATTCATATGTCATACATGATTTCTAAAAACACTATTGGCCGTTGCTGTTTTCAGATGCATGATTTTAAGAACATAGTGTGAAATCAGCCTTGTTGGTTTTGGCTGATATGTCTGTCTCTACGTTAAGAAGTCAGTGATAATATCCTGTTGATTTCCAGTAGATAGGAGATCTAACTCACTAACAAAGTACAGAATTACTATACAATTAAGTGCTCTATGCCCATCTCAGAGGCATATCAAATCTGAAAATGAAACTTTGAAATAACTGAGCTGCATAACTGAATGCTGTATTTGAACACCCAACAGCACAATTGTGCGCACATAGGGCAATTATGCACCCAGATAACCAAATTAGCAAAGGAGAGGCATAGCAATACAACCGAGTTCTCTGCACAGTTCCCCCACCATTACCATGTTTAATATAACTAAAGTTAGGATAGACAAGAGTAATATTTTTTATTAAATGCACTAATCTGTACTTGCTACATGTGTGCAAACTTCCCACCCAGTGCCTAGCCCAGCAAGTTTGTGGACAGTGAAGATGAATTTTTGCCTGTTCCATAGATTTTTTTTTTTTTTACTATTATTTGTGTGTGTGTAACAACACTTTCTTTGCATTCTATTTCAGGTTCATTTGTGTACTTTAAGCAGCGGGATATTCCCATCCTCTTTCATTAATATAATAGTGGCATTAAGCAGTTACAGCGCCTAAGGTACCCAGCCCTGCAGGCATCCAAAAAGTTCAATGAGATGTTTCTTTCATTTTGCTCAACCATGCTCTCGACTTGTTTATGCAAAACTTATTCAGGTAGGAAACTGAGCACGCTCGGTCCTGAGAGAAGGTTGCTCACATGGTGCCTGCTGCTGCTGCAGGTTCTGTTCCAGCTTTTGTGGCTATACTAAGAGAAGTTATCGCTTTCATTTTCAGTAGCTCAAGCACTAAGCAGATGGCAGATGCTCTGGGGGCATGTTTGGGATCTTCAAAGAAGGAGAAAAGGGTCTGCTTTTCTGCCTCTGGAGATGGAACTGCTGGTGCAGAAAGTTGGAGAATTCTGCAAACTTGTTGCAGATCTTCAGAGTTTTGTTGTTGTTATTTTGGCAATGAAAGTATTGAATAGCATCCTGGCATCTGGATGTTCTTTATTATTTATTTTTGTAAGAGATGCTGTGTTCATGGGGAAATTCAGCCAGACATTGCAAAGTCTCCAGATGTTGGCTCAAAGAATGACAGCAGATACATTTGTTTTGAAAGAGACTGAAAGAGCGCATTTTGTTACTAGCTTTAACTATTAAAGACATGAGGCGGTTATAGGTTTTTCTATTGTGTATATGAAATACGTGATGGGGAAGTGCTACTGTCATGAATGAAAAGACAGCAACACTTCTAGTTGAGCATGGAAAAGACAGTAGTTAGCACTTATATGCTGCAGTAGGCATTGACTAACCCAACATGTTGTGGCAATAATGTGTTACCAAAGAAACAGTAAATCTCTGGAAAAAGGGCACAGTCTAATGCAATTTCCAAACTTCGGTACTTTTGGGGAAGCCAGCTGATTTAAATGTTTAAAATTTGCAAACTGAAAAACAAAATGCAGATGAATTAATTCATCAATATACATATATATTTTCCCCTTGAGTCTCAAAAGGCTGTTCCTTGCCTTCATGCAGCCATTTATACTGAACTAGATGGCAATAGGTGAGAGCTTCTTGACCAGGACCATGGGCTGCCTACTTCACCTAGTTTCCTGGAGGGCAGATGGACGTGACATTGATGAAGCAGCTATCAAGCTCCAAAGGAAAGTCTAGTGTTGGAGTATTTCTAGCACAATTCTCCAAACAAATACACTACTTCCGACAAACAGGTTTGGTGCAAATTGGCCTTCAGTCAGGTGGTGTTGTCCTTGCTCTCCCACCACCTTTACACGTTCACAGGAGAGAAGTATCCAAAAGTCAGCCACGTCTAATGAAATGGTTGGTGTTTAACTGGAAGGGATCCCAAATGAAGACAAGCTTTCTCTAAGTAAAAGCTGTTGAGCCTGAGAGACAGTTGTGCAGCACAGGATACCCACTTTTCCACCTTGGCCACCTTCCCTGGGACTCAGAATTTGCCCAGGAAAGCAGAGGTAGAAGATGGTGGTGGCGTGAAGAAGTGCAGAGCTCTTGGTCTCCATGTCCGTGACTGGTGGCTGCAAAGGCCACTGCCATCCTCCCTCTGTCCCCCCCAGCAGCTTGTGCTTGATCTCTTGCCAGAATTTGCTGCCCTGTCAGACTGGGCAGGCTAACCCTTCTGTTTTCCTCAAAATTGTTTTGCTTAACTTGCACAGTTTAAACAGTAGCTTTGATTTTAGTTCAAATAGGACAGGGAGCTTAGATGGCAAAATTGAAGGTACTGTAGGTTCTGGTAAATATGTTGAGATGCTGCTGAGAGTAGGTTGGGGTCAGTAGCCTTTGGAAAATAGTGCAAATCAGACACGTCCAAAGTCTGAGTTTCCAGGCCCAGACTTTTACCAGCATTTTACTTTCCATATTTCCTCCTGGGAGAGCCTCTCTGCAAAAGAATGCTAGGAGAGCATTTCCTGGTCAAATAAACTTGGTGGGTTAACAGAATTAGTCTTCAGCATTCATAAAAAAAAGAAATAAGGCTTTTTCAAATTCATATTTGAAATTGTAATGTTATAATGTTATATTCAATCAAGGCGGTGAAAGCTAGAAATACTTTTTTATGTTCTTGGTGAATAAATTTTTGTGGGAAAATTTCCAGGACACATCAGTAGATGTTAAGTAAATATTTTTCATTTCCTTATGACCAAGTTTACTGGTATTTTTTAAATTATTACTATACTCTATTTTTGAGCTGATCATGTCATTATATACTTTGTGCCCAGTAGAATATTGCAAAAGTGTTATCAAAAATCTGATCTCTAGGTTCTTGTTTTGCCTCTGGAAGTAGTTTTCATGCATTCGGAAAATGAGGTCATACTGTTAAACTGACACAATATATTTTCAGGGTGTTCTTTGCTTACAAAATCTCAGGTTTTCTTCTGAGAGAGGACCTATATGATAACTTTTATAGGTGTCTGTGTTTTGCTCATCAGAAAAAAATGCATCAGAAATTGAGGTCTGTATTCTGTCTATTTTATCATTGCTGTGTGAGTGTTAGCTGGGTGGTCAAATCTTAGGTGAGGCTCTGAATGTGTTCTAATGTTAAAGAAATTGGACTGGTGTGAAAATGTGACATTTATGAACCCTTTGATTGCTACTGCTTTGTGTGTGCGTTCCATCTTTCTTACCAGTCAGGTTTCTAAATCTTGTTCTTTAGTTTGCTTGCATAGAAGAGGAGGGGAAAAAAGCCTGAAAACATTTATTTGTCATTCTGGGGAGGATCCTTTCTTGGAATTGGTTGTTATTTGCTAGAAAAGAAACTGCTTGTGCGGTCCAGATGTGCAGGCAAGAGTTTACCACTAGTACCTTCACTCTGGCTGATGCATGGTCGTGGGTTGGGCACCTTAACACCGAATGTCTCCAGCTTTTGCTGTGTGGAGCTGCTGCAGTCAAGTTACTTCTGCTTCAATATCCCAAAATGTGTCTTGAATGTCTTGTTGCATGGAGTAGATAGAGAGTTCACTGAGGAACAGGGAACAGCTGGGAAAGAGAGAAAGTTAGGAAAATGGAATTAGGAAAGGGGAGGAAATAGAAGAAGGTAGATTCGGGGTAGTTTTCTTCTTCTAACTGCTAGGATGTAAGCCAGAGAAATGAGATACAGGAGGAACTGTGAATAGTCCTATTGATAAAAGTGAGGTAGCTTCCAAATATTCTGTAGAAATTTAAACTAAGTCAGCATGTACAAAAATAATTACTAATAGTGTGAAAATCAAAATCCTCTTTTCCAACTTAATATATAGACAAGTGCTTCTTGAGAGATTTTTTTTGGCCCTTCTTAAAAGCAGAATGTTAGCTTTTACTAAACATGAGGAAAAAATTATGGAAATCTAAATGCTGCCACTAAATATAACATTGAAGAACCATTATATGTAGTTACAACTTAGATTTCTCTCCTTCTCCCCAGTACTGCATTAGGGTGATGTAATTTTGAGATCAACGCAGTAAGTGTGGATAGGCCTTTTTTAAATTTAAGTAAAGATTGAAATTTCTAAGTCAGCGATGGCAATCAGTAAATCACCAGGACCTTCCCAATCATGTACGACCAGGAGTTCAGTGCCAGGGTTCAGACCAAGGGAAAGCAAGAGGAATGTTATGGGTAAACTGAGGCAATTGCTTATGTGAGGTTACAATCGTGGTTGTTCAATGCAGGCATCCTTTTCAGTCATCAGGAATGTGGAAGAAGGAAAAAAAAAAATGACTAGCCTACCATTTAGCTCCCTTTTATCCCATTAGTGATGGCATTTTTTGAGAGAATTTCAAATCTTCATATTTGTCCTACTGAATAAGAGTTAAAATAAATAAAACCAAGCTAAATGTATGATGAGAAGGCATCTTTTGGGTGCTTGGTACTAGCAGCACTGGGTGCGGGAAATGTCTGCTCTGCCCAGAGGTAAAGGCAGAAATGGGGTGCATGGAGGTCAGATGGGGCATGAGAAAGGGGTCTGGCAACAAACCCAAACCCAAGTGTGCCACACTTGATAGGGTGGAACATAGACACTATGGGTGACCAGCATTACCCCCACATGTTTAGAAGAATACAGAACCATGGAAAAAAACAATCCTTGAGCCAGCACAACCGCTCAGTGATTATATGCTGTTTTCCCTATTCTTCTCTCTTGTTTTGTCTATCTAGATTAAAAGGCCTTTGCTGTTTTATCTTTGGTCTGCAGATCTCACAGCATGCTCTTTTCTGCCTATAAATACAAATTGTTCTCTGGGATTTTAAGCGAAGAGCCAGGTTTCCTGTGGACCTGAATCCTCCCCTCCGCCCCTCTTTTCGCCCCCATTAATCTATTTTCAGAAAGCAAGTAGAAATAACCTACCTGCCCCTACTTGAATTGCCTGGAATCAAAACCTTCAGGAAGGCTAATTGGCAGCTTCCAGGAAAGCAGCATCCTGCTGTATGGGAATAAGCATTAGCCAGAAAAGAATTAAGGAGGGTTTGTTTAGGAGACAGGGAGTAGTTCTGGTCTGGAAAAGAGAGTTGCAGAGGAAAGGTGCTCCTAGCTGGTGCAAGGCAACAAGTGATGGTGTCCTAAACCCAGCGAGACAGGCTGTGCACAATCAGTAATGAGAAAAAGAAAAGTTATTTGCTCTGCTCTTTCTTTTTCTTAGAGAAATTGCTGGCCACTGTCCTAAGAAAAGCTATATTGATTGTTCTGAATGTTAAAAATAAATTGGTTTAATGTTATTCCTCAGTAGTGTTTGAAAGATAAGAAGGTTTAATTGACTAGCGACAAGTAGTGTAGCTTTGATATGCAAAGCTGGAAAAGATTTCCATTGTATCTTGCTAAAAATGAGAAGCATTAGAAGTGAGAATTCAGGAAATAAATATGTTCAGAGAAGCCCTGGATGAAACTCTATGAAATTATGGTATCATTCTAGAACATGAGTAGTCTGTCCTCAAACTTAGGTCTCATCTGTATGTACATATACACACATATATATATACACACATATAAATGCTAAAATTACAATATTAGGCTAAAACAGTAAACATAAATGTATACATAATACGTTGGGTGAGCAGTGAGTGTTTTAAAACTCTTTGGGGAATGATGGATTACTCAAGGAAAATATTGAGCTCCTTCCATAAAATGTGACCCATGGAAAGCAGGAAAAAAATCACGTATAGAAAATCATGCCTACTGTGATGTGCTCTGAGTCCTTTAGCCTCTAGTTCCTGATACTGTTCTCATGGCTCCCCAGCTCACAGGGTAGAGAAAGATGATTCCTGCGAGGCTTTTGGAAAACACATTGTGGTGTTTTCTTGGCAATTTTCTCTACCAAAGAAAGCCTGTAAATCTGCATGTAATAGTATCTTCTGGGATGTATCTGCCTCCATACTTCATTTTTATGGGCAGACAGCAGCAGGAGAGACTAAGATTTGGTTTCTTAGTGATGCTCAGAATTGTAATTGTATATGATCTGCTCCAAGGGCTGCTCGCCCGGGCAAAGATCAGCGCGGAGATGCAAGGCTGCTGTTTGTGCAAGCAACCCTACCCGAGATGGAAACGTTGGCCTTCTAGCTGTTACTTCACCTTATCTGCAACCTCAGACTCTGTCTTCCCTCCTTTTTATTATTTTCCTCTTCCCAGTGATTTGTGTGTTCGAATCAGTTGATGAATTGATTGATTCACCACATGCCTCTCTAGCCATGCCTGCTACTGAAAATAGTGAACACTTCCCAAACAAGTAAGCAGGCAGATAGTATCTTTAAATGATAGTTGTTTTTCTGAATGACTGGCAGTGGAACAAATATTGTGTTAAATGATTCTTTTCTGCACAACTTTTTTTCTTTTTTTTCCCTCCTGCCTTTCCAAATTAATGCTCTTACCTTTCTCTGATTAGAGCAGCTCTTAAGAGAATAAATATGTCAATAAACACCCTTCTCCCTTGCTTTGCGTTCCCATCCTGAGCAATGTGGGAATATTCGCTGGGTTCTTGTAAGCAGCTAAACATCTTCGTGGAGCTTGAGCTGAACTCTTTTCTAAAAATGATGTTACCTAGACTGCCTTTGGCCTGCATCTGTACAGGGAGGAGCAAGTGCTGGCTTACGTACGAGCAGTATGCTCCTGTACAAGTGTATGAGGTTGTAAATATGGGCTGTTTAGGACTAGAGAATGGAGAGGACAGTCGAGACAGGAAGAGAAGCTGACAGTTTTTTAATGCAGCCTCCACACCCCAGCTGCTTAGCATTAAAAAAAGGCAGCTGCAAAAGTGCTGTTTCGAGTCCAGATTTCTGTAGCTAAGGGCGGTGTCTGGCTGCCCTCCCTTAGGCAGGGGCTTGATGAGGAGCACTGGGATCCCTCCCCCTATCCTTTCTCTCTGTATAAAGGCCAAATAATAATAGTAAAACTAACATCGTCGTGCTGTAATTTCTGTGCATTTCTCTATGCTTGTCTCATGCTATACCAAATACTTTGCCTGTGAATAATGGCATTCCTTGCATAGAAACTTGTACAGATATAAGCTTCATCCTTGATTTGATTTTATAATGATAAATATA